AAAATCAAAAGACCAACCTTGCCCCTACTGCCACCAAACTAGTCCTCAAATTTTCAGATAAAATGGGGCTGGAGGTAGTAGGGTCACTGTGAGTTCGAGGCCAGTCTGGGCTACATACTGTGTTCGAAGCTGGCATGAACTACATATACCTTGTCTCAAAAAAAAAAAAAATTAAAAGAGCCGGGTGTGGTGGTACGCAGCTATAATCCCAGCACTAGGAGTCTGAGGCAAGACTGCCATGCAGTTCAAGGCCAACCTGGGCTACATAGTGAGTTCAAAGCCAGTCTCAAACAAAACAAAACAAAACAAAACAAAACAAAACAAAACAAAACAAAACACAAGAGATTGTGCCAGCAGAGCAGTGAGCACAGTCCAGGTGCTCTACTCTGCACCAAGTGTCACCAGTACTTACCCCTGAGGCACTCTCTCAGGGGCAGAAGATGTACAAGGAATGTCACATTACACAGCTGTTGTGAGGGCCACCTACTGCAAGACTGAGCACCAGCAGGAAAGTAAAATCAATACAGTATGTGAGAAACGTGCTTAGAATGTACAGCTATATGGAAAGCTCAAACCTTGTCAGTACTGCCAACAAATGTTGTGCCAATAAGTGCCAGCAGTGCACAAATTCAGAGATATATGGACCGCCACATTCTTGTGAACAGTGCGAAGAGCAGTGTGCCTTGACAGGAAAAGTGACAGAAAGGAGACAGATGGGAAACTGCTGTGCTAGCTGTACACACTTTCATACCAATGTGTCTTCAGAAGACCAAGAGCAGAGAAAGCACCTGGGCCGCACTTCGTGCGCCAGGCTCTAGGAGAAGGAGTAGTACAACTGTCTGACAGCCATTTTAACAGCCAGAACACACTTTCTACATCATAATTCAACTGAAATTCCAAAAAAAAAAATCCAAGTGTGAGTAAGTCACAACTAGTTAAGACAGCTTTTCCCCAGACCTGGCTCTGGACTCTCCAGGCACTGACCACTTTGTAATCACTACCTGAAAGAAGGCAGCAGCGGCTCTCTGAAGATGATGCATCAAAGGATCAATGATGTGAGGGAAACAAAAGATTAAAGAAGGCTAGGGATATAGCTCAGTGGCATAAGTGCCTGCCTGGTAAACACAAGGTCCTAAGTTCAATTCCCAGTACCAAAAAAAAAAAAAAAAAAAAAAAATTAAAGAGTAGAATACTGCTTTTCAGTACCAGGAATCTCAATTGAGGGCCAAAAGGAACCAACTGGAGAAAACCCAGGAAGTGACAAAACAATTGCAGGCCAAAAACCAAGAATCTTAAAATTTTATTTAAAAAAAAATAATAGGGCTGGGGGGATTTAGCTCAGCGGCAAAGCACCTGCCTGGCAAGCGCAAGGTTGTGAGTT